GTATTTTTGCCTTTTTACGTCAAAGTCCTGTTTTGTTCTCAACTGGACAACAGGCTTGTCTTGAGCTTTTGGTTTAGCTTCATGCATCACGTGTGTTGATATGATTGTTTTAAAATTGAAAGTCGCCTTTGATTTCGAATAATCTCAGACGAACTCGGTAGTCTAATAGGGACGGTTATTTTTTAAACTCTCACAACTGCACTGAAAGCTGCATTTTGGTTTCAGCGAATGTCATGGCTATCTTTGGTTCGTGTTCGTTTTTCTTTCTTTTTCTGACGTATCTGCTCCTGTGTCGTAGTGCACTCTTGCACTCCCATAAGACAAACCATTTAGTTGATTTAAGGCCTCCTGTTCTGTCTGACCCATGGTCAGTACTACTTGTGTGCATTGTGTACTGAAGGTTGACTTTTAATTATTTGTTTGAGATGGATTTAGGGCCGTTTTTTTAGGGGGGTGGAGATTCCTTTGAACAGTGACTGCTCAGCGATGGTTTGACTTTTCATCTTTGGAATTCTCCCTTATTTCACGGGTTTGCTCTTGCTAAACATTTATTACATTACTGTTGTGACGCTATTCCGTTGCTGCCGTTTATCGAGTCCGGACATTGGAGGTTATGGGGGTCCTTCTGTTGTCTGTTTGTCCTATTTCTTTACAGCCTTTTCACCGTCCTTTGGTGTTCTTAACGGAGGGTTGGAGGTGCCTCGCCCCATTGAATGTTTCTTTTATTTTTTATTTTTATATATTTTTATATTTATATAAATAAATATATATAGATCTATATTTTTTTCACCCTGTTTTGTTTGTTTTATTTTTCCCCCCAACTTAAAATGACCGTTTTTTTGTGTGTGTCCATGTCCATCTTTAAAAAAAAATTCGAACCAAAGCAATATGTGTACCTGGCGAAATACGGCCGTTGTTACATTGACTCCTAGTAAACTAGGATTCGTGGGTGGTTGGCGCGTGCTCTGGTGTGGTTTGCTTCTTCTTTCCTATCAAAATCTATCGTTGTTATCTCCCCTCTTTCTTTTTTATGTTTGTTACTCTCTTATAACTGGTTAGGCTACCGGACTCGCAATCGTGAGATCGCGGGTTCGGGGTTCGAGCCTCAGCTCGGTCCGACGTTGTATCCTTGGGAAAGGCACTTTACACGAACTTCCCACTTGGCTCGGTCCTATCGAAGACGGACGTTAAACTAGGAGGTCCCGCCAAATTGTGTTGATAGGGGCGTTAAACCCATACCATTTTTTTCTTTTATAACACCTCTAATGTTCTGGCGCTCATATGACCTTATGCAGTTGCGAGCGCCGTAAAGCCTCTACTAACCCCCCCCCCCCCCCCCCCCCCCAAAAAATAGGATTTGGGGGAAAACAGCTATGGTATAAAACGTCGTACTCGACTTTTTCTTTCTTGAACCGTGTTTAAAAAAATAATAAAAGCAGAATTGTCATCTGAGTTGGGGGGCATTGTTTTAGCATTCCTGCAGTGCTCGAGATACCAGTCCTCTTTCTTTGTGTAAGACTTTTGATCTCTCCCCCCCCCCCCCCCTACCCGATGTACTCAAAACCATCCAGTTCGTTAGACCCCACATTTCCCTTAATCATTTGTTATGGTTATGAAAGTACGTTTCGTAAACAGAGGCAGATGGCCTGATGAACTTACGGTTGTTTTACCGAAGCTCGGTTGATTTGCATGTAAACGTACACGCATTCTCGTACAGTATTCCTTTGTAATACCACACGAAATGAGAAGGCTTATGAATACTTTGGTCCAACCCCCATTAACGTTAGGTGACGTCCCCTCTCTCGGCATTGATCCCAAACAAACCTAATGAAACTTCCCTCTGGCTACTAGCAGCGCCATTGATTTGACGATAATGGCTTACTAAAGACGGATGATTGTTGAGCCAGCCAGCATTTTGGATCAGGCTCCTCTCCACAATTAGACGAAGCCATCGCTCTGACCAGTGTTGTCAGTTGGTGGCCATTGGTGTGGTTGGTGGCCATCGAGGAGACACAGATACTACTCTCAGGCGAAAACTTCCATTTGCTGGAGCAGAAGCCAGACCAGGTACGGTAATGGACTGCCGAGTTTTTTTTGGGGTGCTTTTTTTAAATTGAAAAAAGGCGTTTGGTTGAATCTCTGGGGGTGGGTGGATGGCGGGCGCTCTAATGTTTGCTCCTTCTATCCTATCAAGCATCTATCGTCCTTCTTCTCATCATTTTCTTTGTATCTTACTCTCTAGAAACACCTCAAATCTTCGGCGCTTATATGGCTTATTTGTGTTGTAAAACTCACATTTAAATGATAACTAAAAACTGTCTGGGGATGTCCTGCTGCTTCTGCTTCTTTTCAGTGATACTCGTTCTTTTTTTATTTTCCAAGTTGTGTGGTCGTTATCGTGCTGGCACCCTGTCTGTCTGTCTGTCTGTCTGTCTGTCTGTCTGTCTGTCTGTCTGTCTGTCTGTTCAGGATAAGTGGTTGCGTGATGTTTTGTAAAAAGATTTTTATTACGCATAAATACATGTGTTGCTCTTGTCTACTCTCAGTTGGTGGATGGTTGGTGGATGCTCTGGTGTGGTTTGCTTCTTTTTTCCTATCAAACATCTATCATCCTTACCTCCCCTCCTTTTTTGTGTTTGTTACTTTCTTGTAACACTTCTAATTTTCAGTGTTTATATGAGACCTTATTGTGTTGCGAGTGCCGTAAAACACTTACTAAAACAAAAACTACTCTCAGTTGAGTTGTTAGCACAGCCAGTACTAAAACGAAGTTGCAGCTGTTCTGTTGTTTCTCGGTTGGTCTTTTCACTATTGTATTCTTGGGTCTCCCAGAACTGTTTCCTTTATTTGTCTTTCCATATAGTTATGTTCGTGCGTTTCTCGGTTGGTCTTTTCACTATTGTATTCTTGGGTCTCCCAGAACTGTTTCCTTTATTTGTCTTTCCATATAGTTATGTTCGTGCGTGTGTGCATACGCTGATACTACTACAGTGCGTCTATTCTTCCTATATGTTCGATAATGCAGCGGCGTGTCTGAAATGTCAAGCGATATCTCAGCACTTACCGGCGAACGTAATGCGTTGTTGCTTTAGGTAGACAGAAATAAACACTTTGGTGTGCTTTCAAACGCAGTTTTGTGAATGTGTGAGCTTCTATATAGGAAGTTGTGCGGTTGATGTATGTAGTTTTTCGCTGCCTCTTGTCTGTGATCTTTCTCCCCAACGACAATATCCTCTTGGGTACTCAGTTTATCTGCAAATGCAAACTTTGGGAATACAAACATGTCAGTTATTAATATCATATTCTTCTAGGCTTGTCTCTGCTTGTTCGAAAGGTCGCTGGTGGGTGCCGTTTCTGTTCTTTTCTCTCTGCTATTTCTTCTCGCTGGTTCGCTTTTATGCACATTATTAATTGTCGATATACTGCTCTTTTAGGCAACAGGACCTGTATGCCACCCCCCCCCCCCCCCCCCCCCGGCCGGGGGGGGGGGGGGGGACCTTACCGTGTTGTTGTTATTTACTATGTACCAGGCGTGCACCCTCTAGTAGTTTGTCTGGCCCTCGAGTCGACCTGGCAATTAATATTGAATGTTGCACACGGTGGGTTGATAATCAATAAAACAACTGTTTGTCTTGAATATTGTCATCAATAATTTCCGGCCTAGTTTGGAACAATAGGTCTAGTATTAAAGTTTATCTTTTGAATTGCCCTTGGGTGAGAAAGTGTCAGTTTTATACAGTCCGGACAACACCAAATGGACAACTTGTCGACCTCATTACACCGAAACTAAGTGGCGAATTGCCTTGATTTTTTGCTTGTGTCTCTGAATTCCAAAAAAAACTTTAGAAATCTTCGTCCATATGCGACAAATATAAATGGGTGTTTTCTATATAATCAATATTTTATTACACTCTGCCCGATGATTTTTTTTTTATTAGAACAAGAACGGCAGTGGAGTGTTAGTTTTTTGTTTGTTAAAATCTATATTCTTTTTCTGAACTGACTGCATGTGCCGCAAGACTGAGTTGTTTTCAGTCCAACGGTTAGTAGGTGACAGTGGGTTTATTTGGATTGATTAATTAGTAACTGTGATATACAATGAGTAAAATTTTTACTTTGCAGTCTTTAAGATTGCACACTTTTCAATTTGCTGTCGCTTTTTCATTTATCGCCATGGTTAGATTGCTTAATTTGCAACCCCCCCCCCCCAAACAACTAGGATTCGGTGACAACAGCTATGGTATAAAACGTCGTACTCGACTTTTTCTTTCTTGAACCGTGTTTAAAAAAATAATAAAAGCAGAATTGTCATCTGAGTTGGGGGGCATTGTTTTAGCATTCCTGCAGTGCTCGAGATACCAGTCCTCTTTCTTTGTGTAAGACTTTTGATCTCTCCCCCCCCCCCCCCTACCCGATGTACTCAAAACCATCCAGTTCGTTAGACCCCACATTTCCCTTAATCATTTGTTATGGTTATGAAAGTACGTTTCGTAAACAGAGGCAGATGGCCTGATGAACTTACGGTTGTTTTACCGAAGCTCGGTTGATTTGCATGTAAACGTACACGCATTCTCGTACAGTATTCCTTTGTAATACCACACGAAATGAGAAGGCTTATGAATACTTTGGTCCAACCCCCATTAACGTTAGGTGACGTCCCCTCTCTCGGCATTGATCCCAAACAAACCTAATGAAACTTCCCTCTGGCTACTAGCAGCGCCATTGATTTGACGATAATGGCTTACTAAAGACGGATGATTGTTGAGCCAGCCAGCATTTTGGATCAGGCTCCTCTCCACAATTAGACGAAGCCATCGCTCTGACCAGTGTTGTCAGTTGGTGGCCATTGGTGTGGTTGGTGGCCATCGAGGAGACACAGATACTACTCTCAGGCGAAAACTTCCATTTGCTGGAGCAGAAGCCAGACCAGGTACGGTAATGGACTGCCGAGTTTTTTTTGGGGTGCTTTTTTTAAATTGAAAAAAGGCGTTTGGTTGAATCTCTGGGGGTGGGTGGATGGCGGGCGCTCTAATGTTTGCTCCTTCTATCCTATCAAGCATCTATCGTCCTTCTTCTCATCATTTTCTTTGTATCTTACTCTCTAGAAACACCTCAAATCTTCGGCGCTTATATGGCTTATTTGTGTTGTAAAACTCACATTTAAATGATAACTAAAAACTGTCTGGGGATGTCCTGCTGCTTCTGCTTCTTTTCAGTGATACTCGTTCTTTTTTTATTTTCCAAGTTGTGTGGTCGTTATCGTGCTGGCACCCTGTCTGTCTGTCTGTCTGTCTGTCTGTCTGTCTGTCTGTCTGTCTGTCTGTCTGTTCAGGATAAGTGGTTGCGTGATGTTTTGTAAAAAGATTTTTATTACGCATAAATACATGTGTTGCTCTTGTCTACTCTCAGTTGGTGGATGGTTGGTGGATGCTCTGGTGTGGTTTGCTTCTTTTTTCCTATCAAACATCTATCATCCTTACCTCCCCTCCTTTTTTGTGTTTGTTACTTTCTTGTAACACTTCTAATTTTCAGTGTTTATATGAGACCTTATTGTGTTGCGAGTGCCGTAAAACACTTACTAAAACAAAAACTACTCTCAGTTGAGTTGTTAGCACAGCCAGTACTAAAACGAAGTTGCAGCTGTTCTGTTGTTTCTCGGTTGGTCTTTTCACTATTGTATTCTTGGGTCTCCCAGAACTGTTTCCTTTATTTGTCTTTCCATATAGTTATGTTCGTGCGT